GTCTTATCATACTGTTTTGTTGGTGACTTGAACTTTGAGCTAAAAATTTAATGTTGCCTTGACCAACTGAGTGACCCCACAGTCTAAAAGCGCCACTACCAAGCTGTAGTCCATTGCCTGGTCAAAGAGAATTTCTTAACAGGTTAAGCCGAATCGTGCGGTTCATTGATTATTCTTCCTGTTAAATTGCTATTATCTTCTAAGGATAAATTCACAAATTTTTTGAACTGAACTGCTTCTATTTGACCGACTCAAAAATCTGGTCTATTTTGGAATATCAAGCAAATTCCTCATACCTTTCTTTGCCCGAAGCAAGTTTCTAAAAACGGACAACCAGTTCTAACGTCCTAATTTCAGGGTAAATATGGCTACAGCGATACGTTCGGTACGTTTCAGTGACGACCTGCCCAGCGTAGCTTATAATCATGTGACGGTACCAAGTGGAGTCGAATTTCAGACGCCAACTTTACAAACAGTGGTACTTGAGCTTCCCCGCGTGTATGATGATGCGCTTTATACGCCATATGATATCTATACGGCAGCCAGCATGGGCGATATTCCAACTGTTGAGGTGAGAAATTGATTTTTGTTCCGTAATTTGCCAGTCCGTCAGAATGATACCTGGGCTTGTTGCCGCATTTATTCTACTAACCTGCATTTCTGGCTCGTCTGTTGATATCGTTGTACGGGCTTGCTGTGGCACTTCGGAAATGTCATGCAAGCAACTGGCCACTAAGTGTGTTGAAGGTCAGTCTCCTCTTGACAGTTCCGAAATGGATCCGTCTGAAAAAATAAATAGTGGCAAGCAATAGGGCAGCTGGTGCGGTCATGCTTTTTGCACGGTTCCATTCAGTGGACGTTTGCCTGCTAAAAATTTTCACTTTTTTATGCTTCGGTTTGTGCAGATATGGTCGGTGTGTTGACTGGCTGTTAAGCTACGAAATTTCCCACCAGAAATTTCATTTTCCGGTAGGTAGAGCATGAAAGCTATATTTGAAACCTTGGACGGTGAACGCCATTCTAAAATTTCACCCTCCCAGTCAACTGTCTTAATAGCGACTTTCGCGCCAAAACTCTCACGTAGTTGTAATTGGGACCTCGGCATAATCGGGAACTAAGTTTGAGTTTGTGAGATCCTTACATAGGCAAAAAACATCCTCCTGAGATCTCAGCTTTACAGCTCTTTTGGTTCTCGAGATAATTTTCCCCCCAAAATTTTCATAGGGCAATACAAGAGATGCAAGCGTAAGTGAAAGCTGAATTGAATCTTCGGAACTGCATGTAGGCAGAGGAAATACTCTCAAAATTTCAGCTTCCTATCTTTTGTGGTTTTCCGAGATAGTAATTTTTCCTTCCTGAGCTTTCACGGGGCCGTACGTGAGTCCCAGGCTTAAGTGGAGGCTAAACTTAAATCCGCGGGATCGTACGTGGGCAGGAAATATTTTCCCAAAATTTCAGCTTCTTAGTTTCCGTGGTTGTCGAGATAATAATTTTCCCCGCCCAAATTTTCACGCAGCTTTATGTGATGCCTGGGAAAACAGGAAGGCAGAATTTAAATTTTCTGGGTCCCACTGGGCGGGGAACATTCTACCAAAATTTCATCTTCCTAGCTCCCGTGATTCCCAATTTAAAAGTGCGGGACAAAGTGCATTCAGACACACACACATACACACACACACACACGCATGCACACATACATGCACATAAACAAGGGCGTGACACTGTGCTGTTGTACAGCGCAAAACGCATTATAATTGACCAGCCCACCGACTGTTGGTGAAATGACGCATTTTTTGCACAGTTCCCCTTCAGGTACTGTCGCCAACGGCACTGTCTCTTCCGACAGAAGCTTCTAGCTAAAAGAACTGGAACTGGCCATCGCAGCTGTCAGAAATTATTGTAATGACACTAAACCATGCTCAAAAAAATTCAGCACTCTAGATGCTTCAGCTGCAGAGTTACGTCAAATTTTGCATGTTTGTTTGTGAGGGAAACGGGGAAATTTTTTGTTTCGGTGCGCACCTGCTCAAACACGCTCGAGAGTCAATCTCTGAAAATTTCGGCAGTGTAGCTGTACTGGTTGCAGGGTTACATCAAATTGCACGTCTTCGCATGTAAGGGGTACGTGCAAGTTTTTTTTACGCGCGTCTGCCTAAGCGCAGTCGTGGTCCTTGTGCAGGAAATGTGAGCGCTCTGGCTGCCTTGGTTGCGGGATTGCGTCAAATCTCACATGGTCGTACGTGAGAGGAGAAGTGACTGTTGTGTCCCTGCTCAAGCATGGTCCTGGGCCATGTTCAGAAAGTTTGAGCGCTTTACCTGCATCGGTTGCGGAGTTACGTCATACTCCACATATTCATAAGTGGCACGTATGTGAGACATGAAAAGAGCGTGAAAGTTGTTTTCACGTCCATCTGGCCAAACGCCGCTGTTGGCTGCGCTTAGAAAGCTCTAGCCCTCTAGCTACTCCGATTCCGAAGTTACAAAACTTCTACATCAAATTTCACGTGTCCGTTTGTGAGATGCAGAGAGTCTGGAAAGGTCAATTTACTTCGACGGGCACATCGGTGGGCGATGAGCAAAGCTGCAAAATTACAGCTGTCTACAGCTTCTTGATCAGATTAATTCTCGAGTTGGCACGATGTCAATTTAAAATTTGACATGTACGTACATGAAACCTAGGCACCCTCCTCCCGCCTCAAAAAAAAAAGTCTTTCACGTGCCCGCACGTGAGAAAAAAAAATCTTCCACGTACCCTATATTAATAATGTGATCTTTGCGCAGAAAATGCTTAGAAGGCAATTGATTGCGTCACTCTTTCGACTCGCGACTTACTGAGATTTGTGCCAGTGGTATTGGTTCGTCTGCCTTCTCGCAAACTTCTCACCAAAAGCTGATCGGCTTTGAGCGGAGTTCTAAACTAATGAGGCACCAGATCCTGAAAATCCGCTCGTCAATCTTATCCCAAAATTTCTAGTCAATTCAAAATGCCTTTCTTTGAAGAAAAAATTTGTTGCTTTGATACAACAGAGTTTCACTCATTTCTTAAATACCGTCTGCTTAGGTTAGCAGTATCAAACATTACCTTGATGTAGCAGTAAATATCTCACAGCAATACTTAATAAATGTTTTATTCGGAAAATCTTGAGGAAATTATCTGTTTTATGAATCCTTGTGATAAAGCAAGCATGCCTTACGTGAACAATAGCCTGTGAAACATTAGTTACTTGATGTAGTATGTTATTAAACTGTGATGAGAAAATAACCTCACCAAGCATGACTTCATTCGGAATCAACATGAAATGTGTAATACCAGCATTAAGGGGAAAGTTTCTGCAACTACGCATTGCAAGAAATCGTGTTGATGAGCCTAGCCGCCAATGAACCCTAGTCTGTGATGGAAGAATACAAAACGTTGTTTTTCACGAGTCTGTCTCTCTCAAATGGTAAGTTAATCATTGTTTGCAGACACAGCTGGCGTCGGGTTTTGATGCTAATCGCTTGAATGGCAGTGGCTGGAGCTCACTAATGTACGCTGCATATCTGGGGCATGAAGCAGTTTGTGCGCTTCTGCTAAAATCCGGTGCTTTGGTGGATTTATGTAATCAGAACGGACAAACGGCTCTTATGCTTGCTGCCACTTGCGGGAATTTGGCCGTTGTAAGGCTGCACAAAATTTACTGTTAAGCATTGCGTTAATAAGCTAATAATACCGACATTTTAGTAATTTCTATACGTTCCTGCATCTTTCTGCAAATATAGAAAGGGATATTGGCAAAGGGTTGTCGGTGTGCATGTGTTCGGATTTTTGTCATTCATGTTCAGCTCAACGACCAGATTTCATGAGAATGTTCTTAGACCACTTGCGATCTAGACAACTTAAATCTGAGTCGTACGTTTTACTTAGATTTTCACGTAGGTTTGACGTAAATCTGGGTCTTACATTCGGACGCCGAAAAACGGTTCGGGAACCAGACAGATAGGAAGCCGAAGCTTCATGTGATATTTTCCACCCATATTTGAGCAAAAGACTTTAAACCGCCGGCAAAACGCCAACTACAGAATCAAACTGAGTCGAGTGCGCTGTATTCACGAGAAAATTTGTTATCCAGACGTATACATGTAGAACCAAAATAAACTTTAGCGTATTCGGACACGATTTTGCCGATCTGTCAGCCTAGATAGCTGGGTTTTTACGAGGATATTTTTACCCATGTACGACCGAAATATTTCAAATTGAGCTTTAAAGCACGCCTAAGTCTTGCTTATGAGCAATTGAAGGTTTAGTTTGAGGAACTGTTGGTGTCCAGTCAACTTGGAAATCAGACTGAGCAGCGAGCAGTATTTTTTCTGATGATATTTCCTATTTATAAGTGTAAAATGAGTTTCAACTTAGGCATGTGCCCTGAGTACAGACGTATCAAATATTTGAATTGTAGCAGCACAGTCACACACCAGTTCAGGCGATCTCTGAGCAGGATGTAATCATGCAAAAACGCATGATCGCACCGGCGAACGTGATGTGCACTGCTTTAATTTTTAATGAGTATAAAATCAAAAAGCGTATATTTTCCTCAAAAATGAAATAACTCTTCGTGTGCAACGGCATAATTTGATTTCAGGTACGGTTACTGTTAAAGAAAGGAGCTACAACTGACAAGCAAGATAAGGCGGGCGATACCGCATTAGCTTATGCAACGGCCTGCTCGCAAACCAGTGTAGCGGAAGCTTTGCTGGACAGTGGCGCCGACCCAAATATACCAAACGAGGCCGGTATGACACCAACACTGACCGCATGCTGTGTTGGACATGAACTTACCCTGCTTGCACTGCTTCAGAATGTAAGTACGCAACTTGTTTACTGGCTGGAAAATGTACTTTTTGCAAATGCGGTGCCTGAAGAAAGTTTGCGAGGTTGCAAAGCATTTCTGTACTAATATGACGCGCCCAGGATTCGAAATAAAAAAAACGGCGTTCAACTATCACTGCTATCTCTGTCAGTGCTTTTCGTTAACTGATTTTGCTTTTGAGCACAGTCTGACTCCTTAGGGCTGAGTGTTGCCAACTAATTAGATTTTACGCTTCTCAGCTCAGTTTTCGCATTTCTGCGTCTGGTGTTTTTGATACATTTTGAGCATATGTTGGAAAAACAGCTGAAAACATGATATTGCTGTCCTCTAAAAAAACTTCTCGGAGTTCTCAGCTCTGAGATCTATTATCTAGCAGCTGCGTTGTTGCCAGGTGATGGATAAAAGGCAAGCACTGCCTCCTTTCTTTGTAATTAACATGCAAAATTCATTAATTCTACATGACGCATGAATTTAGTGATATTTTTATGGCTTTGTTTGTAATATCCGTTTTCATCACAATTTTAGGTTTTTTTTTTTTTTTTTTTTTT